ATATATATATATATATATATATATATTTATATTTTTTACAGAGGACACTCAAATCATTATTTAGAAAATAAAAAAATTTCTTGCTCATCTTTTAACAATAAATGCACATTGATTTAAATTGTTAAATTTATGAAAATTATAGTTTAAAAATATTAAATGCGTAATTTTATCTTCTGTATTTATTTAAATAAAAATTTGTTTCTATTATCTTTGATAGTAAAAATTTTCATTTTTTATGTTTTTACCCTAGGGAAAAAGTTACATGATCGATATTTCGAAATTAATTATCAATAACACTAAATATACCGCATCTGACTTCAATTTTGTATGAAAGATTGTTATACACTTTTACTCAAAACTGCTTTTTAAGTAACTACTTACTAGTGTTGTTAAGTTATAATTATTATGATATGTTGCAAATTTATAAATTATTTACATATGAAATCTATGAATTATTTGTTATAGGCATCAATGACAAAATTGTTAATGGAATCTGTAAAGTGGTATCACTTACCTTACATAGATACAAAGATAGTGCTTCTCAGTCCTACGTGAGGAATCTGATTGTGGAATTAATTAAGCAACAACCAGAAGCTACTATCAAACATATGACAACTGTAATTTCAGAGCAAGCTACTTGGCATAAGAATGTGGTTCCGACGTAAGTCGAAATGGGATTTAACTTTTCATTATTTTTATTCACATATAATAATATTTTTCTAACAATATTCTTTTTTATAGCTTAAATACTGCTCTAACTGCGTATATTGCATTGAAGTGGTCAACTTTACTCATTTTCCATGGATATAATGAACACCATGTAACACAGATGGATGAGTCTTTAGCAAAGCTCATTGAAGCACAGGCTAATTTATCTGCCGCAGCTCTAGCGTCCGCAGATAAAAAACTCACCAACAAGGTGTACACATTACTCGCGCATGAATGGGTAGCCATTGCAAATATAGAAACTTATGCGGGACATTTAACAAAATTGGAGCTTGGCAACGGTGTAATTATTCTAGCCAGTTTACTTACGAGATATTTAGTTACTACAAAGAGAAGTGATTTGGTGGAACAACTGAAGGTAAGCGAGGAAAGATATAAAGACATAAAAATATTTAGAAATTACGTACAAACATACATGTGTGTATTTCTATAAATTTCAGACAAACATGATAGACGTTTTTATAAAAGTGACGATTAGTTGTAAGAAGAAACCAGATTTGTATGTAGTCGATGCAGCTGTGCCACTTCTTCGGAGATTAACTCACGAGGAATTTAAAACTCAATTACTTCCCGCTTTACAAAAAGCTATGTTGCGAAACCCAGAAATTATAATTGAATCGGTCGGTCATATTTTAAATGGATTAAGTCTTGACTTGAGCCAATATAGTCAAGAGATAAGTAAAGGATTATTTGCCAATCTGCATTCTAAGGAAGATTTGGTCCGGGATGAGGCGGTCGAGGCATGTCGTAAGCTCGCTTTACAATGTTCCGATACAACGGCTTTGGAAACGCTGTTGTCATCCGTATTTGCGGTGTTTCATGGATCGGAAGGCAAACTCACGGTTGCGACGCATAAGATCTCCGTGCTGCAAGGAGCTGGCAACCTCAGCTACAACGTGGCATCAGGCAGCAGTGTCCAGAAACTAGCCGAAACGGCCTGCGAGCATTTCGTCAAAGTGCTCGAGACAGAAGTTCACGAGAAGACATTGATACATGCTCTCGAAATGATGGCACTGTGGTCCAAGAAATTCTCTACTACCGTATCAAAAATCGTCGTGGATGCCTTTAAGAAAGGCATGGCGGCGAAAACGTCCACCGCTGCAGTGCGTACTGCCTACATCAAGTTGTTCTTCTCGACTCCCGTCGCTTCGTATTCCGGAGTAATAGCACCGATTCTTGCACAGGCGATAACCAGAGCTATGCAGCAATGCGCGCAACCAGCGGCGGTGACTGAAGGTTTGGTCGCTTCGTATTTGCTACTCAAGTTCGTATTAGCTGATCAAGTAGAGAATGACAAACAGAGCGTGCTGTGGAACGCTATAGATGAACAGATATTCTTCTCCGAAAAATTTTTATCGACGTGCAGCGACGATATTTTATATCATCTCATGTTACTTTGTGAACGTCTTATCACTGAATTTTCCGACAAATTGAATGAGAAAGCTTTAACTGGAATTCATCGAGCAATCGTATCTTGCGCCACTGCCCCAAATTCCGCAACGAGACAACGGTGTTTACCCTTAGTCAAGAAGATTATGACCGGTTTGAGTACATACGCGCCAGCACAGGCATTGTTAACAGAATTTAATAAATTTTTGGAAAATGTCAAGATCAAGTCAGAATCAGATAAAGAGAACAAGGAAGAAACTTCAATGGGAGAGATTACTGGCAGATGTCTCGCGGATGGATTATTCGCTATATGCTCGGGCTCCTTTTTATTTGAAACACCCTCCTATCAGATGACTAGGGATGCTTTGCTGCCATCTCATCATCCGGCGTTGCTCAAAGCCGTACCAAACTTATGGTTCAAAATCGCTAAGAATTACAATCTCGTACCAAAGGATTTCTTACGTAGCTACAGCAATGAAGTAAGGAAAATGTTAATCCAGAATTATAAACCAGTGCCGACCTATGAAAATGCACTTATAAGAATTGTATCACTTGCACCGGATGCTTTTCTACCTGCGCTAGTGTCGAACGTTACGAGCAAGCTGGACGATCCAGAAATCTTGCGAGTTACCAAGGACGAATATTTCACGTATCTCACACCAGAAGGAGAGCTTTATGATAAGAGCGTGTTACCTGTTAATGACGAGAACGATATCCTTAATTCTATGAATATGAAGAGAGAAAGTAAAGTCTATTCGTTCAAGGAGCAGCAAGAGGAACTTCAATTACGGCGCGAGTTATACGAGAAACGAAAGAGAGAGGGAAAGATAAAAGAACCAAAATTGACACCCAAACAGGAAGAGACTATAAAGGCACAAATCGCGAAAGAGAATGGTATTCGTAAGAGATTAACCGAATTGAAAGCTAAGATAGACAATACTGTGTCCTTAGTGACATGCTCGATACGCGGTAATCAACAAGAATTGTCTTTGTACTTAAAGGATCTTTTACCACCTATTTTAAAAAATTTGGGCTCTCCATTGGCGGCTCCCGAAATGTCGGAACTTTATATATCTCTTCGCCAAACAGTGACGCTAGATAACAGCGCGACTCTAGGTGATCTCATTGCTCACGTTACGTTGCGGCAATTGCAGCCGCAATGTGATTTGGACCAAGCCTGGGAAGAGGAAAATCTAGATGTTGCAGTTAAAAGAACACTGAATCTTATACACGGAGTGACGATCAAGAAGAAGGAACTGTTCACAGCGCCGGCGTTCTGCTACGTTTTCCCCTTCATAAGGAAGACTCTGACGTCATATAAGGACGAGGGCATGATTGTGCAAGGATTGCAATTGATTCAGGAACACGCCAAGCAGAGAGGTAGCACTACCGATCTAAAAGATCTTAGGCATCCCAGACTCCTACCGCGCAAACAGATGTTCGATTTACTCATCGAGCTTATGGAGACCACCACGAGCCGAGTGCAGTCTCATGCGGTAGCGACCTTGCTCGACGTTGCGCAATCCGGTAGCGGTCAACCAGGTACCGCGATCGCCACTAGCGAGGATATAGACTCGTTGATCGGCGCTTTGCAGAATTCATTACCGACCGTGAGGGATGCAGCGCTCAGAGGCTTGACGGTGATATGGCAGGCTTTTCCGTCTCAAAAGGAAGATCAGGATCAGCTCGACAGGCTCACCAGAAGAGTATGGATTGCTCGATTCGACGTGAACGACGAGAACAAAATTCTTGCCAACGAACTATGGAACACAGCTGACTTTACCGCGCAAGCGGAGGCTCTCTGCGAGGAGCTGATCCAGGACATTGCCCATCCGGTCGAGCCGGTGCAACAAGCGGCGGCTCACGCGCTGGCCCAGAGCTTGGCCAACGTGCCACATCTGACGCCGACCGTGTTGGACAACTTGTTGCAGCTGTATCAGGAGAAGCTGGCCATGATTCCGCCGAAACTGAACGATTTCGGTCGTGTTATCGAACAGCCGATCGACACGTGGGGCCCGCGGCGCGGAGTGGCGCTCGCTCTCGCGCAAATAGCGCCGCTTCTCACCGCCGACACGGTGCACCGACTCATTCAATTCTTCGTCCTGACCGGGCTCGGCGACCGAAATCAATCCGTACGCACCGAAATGCTCACAGCCGCCGTCGCGGCGGTCGACCTTCACGGCAGCGCAAATATAACGTCGCTGCTGCCGGTCTTCGAGGACTTCATGGACAAGGCGCCGAAGATCGGGAGTTTCGATTCGATCAAGCAATCGGTGGTAATCCTCATGGGATCTCTGGCAAGACACTTGGACAAAAATGATCCGCGAATCAAGCCCATCGTGATGCGCCTCATCGCGGCGCTCTCCACGCCGTCGCAGCAAGTGCAGGAGGCTGTGGCTAATTGTCTACCGTATCTGACGGATTCCATCAAGGAGGACGCACCGAAAATCGTGGACAATCTAATGGACCAGTTGCTCAAGTCAGACAAGTACGGAGAGCGCAAAGGCGCCGCGTACGGACTAGCGGGGCTCATCAAAGGCATGGGAATCCTCGCGTTGAAGCAACTGGATATTATGAGCAAGCTGACCACCGCGATCCAAGACAAAAAGAACTACCGACACCGCGAAGGTGCGCTGTTCGCTTTTGAGATGCTGTGTACGATGCTCGGCAGATTATTCGAGCCCTACATCGTTCACGTACTGCCACACTTGCTACTGTGCTTTGGCGATTCGAGTCAGTACGTGAGAACCGCTACCGATGACACTGCCAGAGTAGTTATGAGTAAACTTTCCGCCCACGGCGTTAAACTCGTTCTGCCAAGTTTACTGGCGGCCTTGGAAGAAGACTCGTGGAGAACAAAAACAGGTAATTGGATATTACAATAATATCGCGATTTTTATTCCTCAAGATTACCTTAAGATTAAATTCATGTTTATTTTGTTTTTATCACAAGAAAATACCTTTCCATTTAAAATTCTCAGTATACAAAGTAGCAGTAGGTTTCAAAAATCAAATCCACATCTTTTCTATTTAAAAAACTGTTTAAGTTTTGAGTTATTCAACATCTCAATGATAATTACTTTTTTCAATTTAAAATATAACGAAATTGTTTGTTCATCTCAATAGCGAAACAGATACAGTTACATTGAATTTCAGATTTAAAATTTACATATCTTATTTTTTAGGATCGGTCGAGTTACTTGGAGCTATGGCATATTGTGCGCCGAAACAATTGAGCAGTTGCTTGCCAAGTATCGTTCCCAAACTGATAGAGGTACTCAGCGATTCCCACACAAAAGTGCAAGAAGCTGGTGCGGAAGCGCTTAAGGTCATTGGAAGTGTCATTCGCAATCCAGAAATCCAGGCCATCGTGCCTGTATTGCTGAAAGCACTGCAGGATCCGTCGCATAAAACCGCTACCTGTTTGCAAACATTGTTGGACACACAATTCGTACACTTCATCGATGCTCCTTCGTTAGCGTTGATCATGCCCGTTGTGCAGCGCGCATTCCTCGATCGCTCGACAGAGACTAGGAAAATGGCCGCGCAAATTATCGGCAATATGTACTCCTTGACAGATCAGAAAGATCTGACTCCGTATTTGCCGACTATTATTCCTGGTCTAAAGACAAGTCTGCTCGACCCGGTGCCCGAAGTACGCAGCGTGTCGGCGAGAGCGCTGGGCGCGATGGTACGAGGAATGGGCGAGTCCAGTTTCGAGGATTTGCTACCTTGGCTGATGCAAACGCTGACTTCCGAAACCAGCAGTGTCGATAGATCCGGCGCCGCCCAGGGTCTGTCCGAGGTGGTGCGCGGACTGGGAGTCGAGAAACTTCACAAACTCATGCCGGAGATCATCAGCACCGCGGAGAGAACTGACATTGCTCCTCACGTGAAGGACGGATATATCATGATGTTCATATACATGCCGAGTGCGTTCACCACAGAATTCACGCCGTACATAGGTCAGATCATCAATCCGATCTTAAAGGCGCTGGCCGACGAGAACGAATACGTGCGGGAAACCGCGCTGAGGGCGGGACAGCGTATCGTTACGCTTTATGCCGATTCGGCGATAATGCTATTGCTACCTGAACTGGAAAAGGGTCTCTTTGACGACAACTGGCGCATTCGATATTCGTCCGTGCAATTATTAGGCGATCTGCTCTATAGGATCTCCGGTGTATCGGGCAAAATGTCAACCGAAACCGCGAGCGAAGATGACAACTTTGGTACGGAGCAATCGCACTATGCTATTATAAACGCCTTGGGCGCGGAGAGACGGAATCGCGTGTTGGCTGGCCTATACATGGGTAGATCGGACGTAGCTCTCATGGTACGCCAGGCGGCTCTACATGTCTGGAAGGTGGTAGTGACAAATACTCCGAGAACGCTGCGAGAAATATTACCAACGTTGTTCACTCTTCTGCTGGGATGTTTGGCAAGTACGAGTTACGATAAGAGACAAGTGGCCGCTCGGACATTGGGCGATCTCGTTAGGAAATTGGGAGAGCGAGTATTGCCGGAGATCATACCGATTTTGGAAAAAGGCTTACAGAGCGACCAAGCCGATCAGCGCCAAGGTGTGTGCATAGGCCTCTCAGAGATTATGGCGAGCACCAACAAAGACATGGTGCTGACCTTTGTTATCAGTCTTGTACCAACAGTCAGGTGAGTATGAACGTTCGTAAGAATGTGATGATAATAAAAGTGCAAGCAGCCAGACGAAAAAAATTGTCATCTTATTTCAGAAAAGCGCTGTGCGATCCGTTGCCAGAAGTGCGACAGGCTGCAGCCAAGACTTTCGATGGTTTGCATTCCACGGTGGGCGTTCGCGCCCTTGATGATATATTGCCGGCAATGTTAACGCAATTGAACTCACCGGATCCGGCAGAGGCGGAGAATACCTTGGACGGTTTACGTCAAGTGATGGCGATCAAGTCGCGAGTTGTACTACCGTATCTAGTCCCGCAGTTAGCTTCGCCGCCGGTTAACACAAAGGCACTGTCGATACTGGCCAGTGTGGCAGGTGAAGCATTGACAAGGTTCCTTCACAGGATCTTACCAGCATTACTCACTGCTCTTTCCAGTGCGCAAGGAACGGCAAACGAACTGCAGGAGTTAGAGTATTGTCAGGCTGTCGTTCTTTCCGTCACCGACGAGGTAGGCGTCAGAACCGTGATGGATCAGCTAATGGAAGCTACGAGAGCGGAAGATCTCTCGAAACGGCGAAGTGCCGCGACATTGCTTTGCGCGTTTTGTCGCGACACTCGCGCCGATTACAGTCAATATGTCCCGCAATTGCTGAGGGGTTTGATTCATTTATTCACCGACGAAGACAGGGATGTATTGCAGATGAGTTGGGAAGCACTCACAGCTGTCACTAAGGTAGAGCATATGTGAATGGAAATGACGATGCGATAATTTGAACGCCAGGATTAGTATTATGTATAAAGTGACGGATGTTAAAAATAATTTACACAATTAAGGCGATATTAACGCGTTTAATTGTTATATTTCTTACAGACTCTATCATCTGAGCAGCAAATAGCGCACGTGCAGGACATTAGACAAGCCGTTCGATTTGCAGTGTCTGATTTGAAAGGTCAGGAATTGTTACCTGGATTCTGTCTTCCCAAGGGAATCACGCCGATCCTACCGATCTTCAGAGAAGCTATACTGAACGGTTTGCCGGAAGCGAAGGAACACGCAGCTCAAGGATTAGGAGAAGTGATAAGATTATCCAGCGCAGCTGCGTTGCAACCGAGTGTCGTACACATTACCGGTCCGCTTATCCGAATCCTTGGTGACCGTTTTAATTGGAGCGTTAAAGCAGCGGTCCTCGAGACGCTTGCAATATTACTTGGAAAGGTTTGTACAAAATCATAGAATGATTTTTGTCAAGATGAAAATTTTATAATTTACTATTATGTGATTTGGAAATGAAAGGAAAAAATAAATATAGATATAAAATAAATTATTATTCCTAATCATAATAATTTTAATTTGAAATTAATACTGCCTTTGCAGGTTGGTGTTATGTTAAAACAATTCCTGCCGCAACTGCAAACTACGTTCTTGAGAGCCTTGAATGACAGCAATCGGCAGGTCAGGTTAAAAGCTGCTTATGCTCTTAGCAATCTGATTGTTATTCATACGCGTGTCGATCCTTTATTCACTGAACTTCATACTGGTATCAAAACAGGAGATGATCCAGCGATAAGGTAAATTTCGATCTATCGAATGTTTCTTTCAAATTTTAAAACTTTTATAAAAAAAATTTTAATATTGCTTGAAACAGGGAAACGATGCTACAAGCTCTCAGAGGTGTTCTGACCCCTGCTGGCGACAAAATGACCGATCCGATGAAGAAACAAGTATTCGCAACGCTGAGTAGCATGCTTGGTCATCCGGAAGACATTACAAGAAACGCAGTTGCTGGTTGTTTCGGTGCCCTTTTGCGATGGTTAACTCCAGAACAATTAGCGGTCGCATTTAACGATCACCTTTTATGTAAGTTTGTAAAAAGTATAACGCATAATTTAAATTGACATTTATAAAAAAAATTAATTGGTAATACAACAATTGATATTTGATTAGGTAATGATGTTAATGCCGACTGGGTGCTCAGGCATGGACGTTCAGCTGCACTTTTCGTGGCGCTAAAAGAATCACCCGGCACGGTGTATAATCCTAAGGAGAAGGATCGCGTATGCGCAGTGATACTCTCGTATTTGGCAGCGGACAGAGTGCAGATTGTAATGAATGGCGTACGAGCATGTGGATACTTATTTCAGTATCTTATGAATGAATCGCAGCCAATACCGCAACAAATTTTGTCACCTTTCGTGAGGGTAAGCTCGTTTGAAAAAAAAACGTTTGAAAAAAATCTTTACTATATCTATTCGAGAAACGAGAAATAAACTTAGCTATTTAATTTACAATATCCAATATGAAATAAGATCTGTTCTTCATCGCTGAACGAGACACTTTTCTTCTTCTTTCGTTAAACTTTAAATTTACGTTATAAGTACTATACCATACTAATGTACAATGAATGTACATAATTACTATAGCTGTAAGATACATCTATATTTATATTAAACTATATAAAGTTTTTAATATTTGCTATGATTTCAGTCAATGAATAATAACAGCAATGATGTGAAGCAATTACTCGCCCGAGTTTGCATTCATCTTGCACGTAATATACCACCCGAAAATATGTCGCCTGAACTGCTCAGAGCTCTTTTGCCAATGTTAGTGAACGGCACGAAAGAGAAGAATGGATATGTTAAAGCGAATAGCGAGCTTGCGCTTATTGCGGTGCTTCGATTGAGACAGGGTGAAGAAGAACACCAGGTTAGTTACTATTTTTTTTATAAAAAACCGATTGATCGCTTTTCGAAAACTTGCATTTAATTTTTGTGAGATGATAATCTCACGAACTACTTGCTTTTTTTCATGTAAAATACGATGATAATAGTCTTATCTTTCTTTCAGCGCTGCATGGCTTTCTTAGATGCTGGCGCGGGAGAATCTCTCTCCGATGTGGTCAGCAAAGTGTTGCGTAAAGTTCTCTCTCAACCGGAGGGCAAAATAGAGGAATTAGATGATACGTTACTCACGTGAGAGATATTGTACTTCCCGGGGCTTATTACGCACTATACCCGTTCCAATAATCGTATTATCCGCCATTATTCGCCCGATCCCTATAAAAAAGAGATTTATCGTTCATGTATCAGCTGCATTATGAACAAGCTAACTCGTTCAGCATTGTATCTCGATAAACAATTAAAGAGCGTGAAGCGGAACTGTCGCTCAATGGCATTCAAATTACTTAAATTAAGATATCCTGAAAATATCAAGCGATTCGAACCAGAATTGTACATACTTTTACGAGAGATGTTTTCTATGATTCTTATAACGACCGCCTGACATTTAACGATTCCAATGTCGATAATTGCCCGTACGTTTTCTCACTTGAGAGATCAGAGGTGACGATCGGCATCTATTATTGACGCTTTCTCTGTTAAAAATGTAAGATTTATTATTTAAGCCGTTGTTTTATTCACGGCTGTATTTATATAAAACGATCACAGAATGTTTATGAAGTCTTTACAATTTTAACATAATTGTATTGTGCATATACTATCGATTGATTGTTTTATTTACTACAAGAAGAAAACTAATGAAAATTCACGATCATCAAATTTTGAAAGCTCAATGTTTCGCTTATGTAACTAAGTTACAGGCTGTATAAGAACAGTGCTGGATTTATCTTTGCACGAAGTATGCACTAATTCATTCGTGTGTTATCAGAAGTGACAATGTATGTTTTACAGTATAGTTGGTAATTTTGTTAACGTTTGAGAGACAACAACTAGTGCAAAGTAATCGAAAAGAACGGGGAAATGCGTAAGTGCTTTGGTTAAAAATGTTAATGTTTATCTTAAGTCTTAAGTATTGTTTGTTATAATATAAATTATTTTTAACATCTCTCATACATTCTTTTATATAGATAATTTTTTTATGTTTTCCTTCTTTACAAATACGACGAAATATATGATAGGCGATAAAAACGAAGAAATATTTCTTAAAAATTATAGAAATGAAAATATGATTAAAAGAATAATATGAAACATAATTGATAGTAATTGAAATATATCTCATCTTTATATCACGTTGTTATTCATGCAAATATGATTGCATATAATAAAGGCAGTTCTTCAGTAGAAATATCTAATAACTCAAACATTATAATACTATCAAATCGATTATGATTTACGCTATTCTGTATCTTGTTGACTATTTGTTATGAATAATTGAAAGTGAATAATACACTACATTTTCTTGAAAAATGAAAATCGGTTATTTTATCTGGAATTGCACAAAATGCAAATAATCTTGCGAAATTTATTGAGGGCATCTACAATGTGATTTCTTTCATTTTATTATCGCAACATTGTTCCATCTGTTTATATATAACAATGTTAATTATTATTTCCAGAATAAAAAGTACAGATGGAATTCCGATGTGTGGTCAGATTTGAACGGATTTAGGTGTCTTCAGATCTACTTGGTTGAAGTGATCGATCATTATTTCGCCGAATTAGTAATCTTTAACTTTTGTAGAGATTGTTATTTGTCTCCTGTAAACTTCCGAAATGCCATGATACTCCTGGCTCGATCATTGAAGTGTCTTCAAAACAGGATAACGCATCACTCTGCATTTATCGATTTTCGTAAACGCGCAATCCGCCTGCCATCATATATCATTACATTTGAAAAATGCTGGACAATCCCAAGATTTTGTACTTTTATATGAGTTTCAACAAGTTCAGAATTTACTTACTAATTATCAGTTGATGATAATGACTTTTTTTTTATGTGATAAAGCCGAGATTTTTCCGCTTTTCGGCTCTCTTTCTAATGAGGATAGAGACAATGATATGATGAACCAGAAGTAACACTTCATATCTCAAGTAAAATGAATTACTTCACAAGCGTCACTTCAGCTGTTTACATGGCCCGGGATTTCTAAATATATAATACAATCAGTTTGCTTTTCAATTAAGTATCGTATACGTTATAAATAAGTTCCACTAATATTTTATGTTAATCAGACTTTATTCTACTTTTTAAGTTTCTCAGGAAAATTTTGACAGATTCTTGAATGAATCTCCATCTAAGTTATTTTAAATTATTCGAAAGAAACATCGCAATTTTCTGAATTTTTAATATTAAATATTTGTCCAATTAAGATTTTATTAAAGCACTCTATTATTTACTTTATTTCTCTGGAGATAAGCTTGCGTCTTTTTTGCTTTCAGCTTATAGTTCTTGAAAATCAATTTCTAGATATACTTCTAAAGGAAACTTCAATTTTTGTATCCGTTCAAAGAATCTGTCAATAAATCCACATATAGTCAATGTTTTATTCAATCTAGAATAAGTTCCTCAGTAAATATTGTTTTCTAATTAAAATATTTAATCAAAGATTAAGAAAGAAAAATTTATAAAGAAAAGATTATAATGAAAAAATGCGACCTCAATGTTATTAATTATGCATCGATATTCTAAAAAAGAATTTTCTTTGTTACTTTAACACAAATGATTTTGTAACATAATTTTTATTTTTTTATCCGCACTTGAAAGATAATTTTGTATCTACTAGTTATATATGCCATGAATGTATGTGATATAAATAGAATAATTTGCGCGCTTAAAATGCTTTTTATTTCTTCTCAATAAAATAGGATAATATCGCGAGAAGACAGTTTATATTTTAATAAATATTTGTTTATTTGTTTTTTATTTATTTGTTATTTTAATAAATATTTTGTTTCTCATGATGTCCAAACAAACGATGTCGATGACATCGAAAGAGAAGATTATTAAATCAAAATTATTAAATATCTTTTCCGGAATGCGATACACGCGATCAATTTATCCTTTCGTGTTTCTAATTCAGTGTCGCGCTCTTGTCATGTATTAGTAAATATTATTTATTATTACTTAATTGTTGTAGCAGCTGATTTTTTTATTAAAAATTAACAAAGAATGATACATTAAAAGAATGATACATCAGGAATGAATTCCTGCTTATCTTTAGAAAACGGATACGCGAGATATATGTAATGATTACGTGTATTCGAGACAAGAGAAATTTCCTTGAAATCACAGAACGACGTATCGCGCTCCGTGCCGGAAATGCAGCCCCCGGCGTCAAAACGTCATCCGACCGGCGAATCTCGCAATCGTAAGAAGGAAAAAAAGAAGACGAGGGAAGAAAGACAGAAAGGAACGATCCGCCGAGATACAGGGACGAGACGTGCAGCTGCGCGTTATGCAGTTCCGCCGTTGCACTTCAAAGCATTTGCCGTCGCCCACGCGCGAAAACTCTCGCTTTACTGCGTCCGGAAGCGACGCTTTATGTCCCCTGCGTGATCTTTAGCGAAGGTATTAAGGAAACCCTTTTCCGACTCGGAGGTTCCGCTGTGACACGCGCACGTTCGATCTTCATCCGTTCCGATCGTGACGAAAATTATGATTTAGAAATCATGTGACGTTAACAAAATATATAGAAACTAGACAAAGTATAAAAATAATTTAAATAAAAAATAATTTTTAAGATATATATATATATATATATATAATATAATATAATAAATATATATATATATAATAAAATATTAATTGTTATACAAAATGTATAACATCTCTACAAGAGCAATCTAAAATATTATTAATTAATTTAAAATAGAATTATAATAAGTTGATTAGAAAAATTACTCTCTCTCTCTCTCATAAAATTTATTCAAATCATATAAATATTAATAATTGCTTAATAAAATAACCAAGCATTTTTACTATTTCCACTTTTTACTTTTACTTAGTAATAGAAATATAAAAAAGCACATCTCCGTGAAGTATCATCAATATGATCTCACAATATGGTTTCCATCCGCCGCTTATCTCCTATTCCTGTGACAATCTTAACAATATGTTTAGTCTGATCTATCCTGAAATAATAAAGTATTACTTCCGACAAAATATTTTTTTATGCGTACTCCAATAGATTTGTATATATATATTATCTCACTGCTACAATATGAGATGTATACAGATAACATATTGTGAATATTTTATTTTAATTTTCTTTATTATCCATAATATTGACCAAATTAATATTGATCTGGTTATCTGGTGATTTGATAAATCGTCATATTGATTTTTAATATTTGTAAAAAATGAAACATTTAATTTCAATCCTAATGTTATATAAAGATGATAAAAATGTTATATAAAGATAAGATATAATAATAAAGATAAAATATATTTAAAATTAGTGAGATTTTCGAAACTAATGATTCTGTAAATTAATTATTAATAATGAAAAGAATGAATGAATTTTATCTCTTTGTTCGCATCTAAATTGCTAAATTAGACGCTAATGTAACAAAATAATTACGATAAGAGATATTTTTAATGAGAATTTAATGATATTTTTCACGATTAAATGAAAGTGTGTCGTATGAGTCACAGAAATATTTTCGTTATATAATGCGCTGTACGGGGTTATAAATGATAAACCAAATGATCGAAATTATCGAAATTATTTGATATATCTGATATTTCTTGGAACTGTTTAGTAATAATGTAGAACGAAATTATATATTTATAAAAGACGCATTCAAAAATTATTTTGAGGGAAAAAAGAGACAATATTTTCACAAAAATATTGTCAAATTAATGAAAAACGTACGTTTTCATGCTTGATCTTTTTAAAATAAAAGTTATATATAATATTTTCTCCTTTCGAATTTTTTTCACAGAAAGTTTTATGATTCAATGTTCTTTCCGTTTTATCTTTCCATTTTTGACATCGTAAATTTTTTACATATATATATATATATATATATATCTATTTAACTAATTATA